ACTTAAAACTCTCTTGCCTTGTACCTTTTTCCTCACAGACCAGCATCCCATCCTAGGTCTTAGTAGGTCGTTTATTGTTTCCAGGTTTCCGAATGAATGACAATTAGAGAAAGAAGAGAAACTTATGCAGATGTAGCCCTTGTGGCTTATTTGAGTGGGGCTCTCCTCACATTTGCATAATGGTTCTACTTACTGTGTACTCGCCAGGCCAGGGCAGACTCCACCTGCAGGAGTTACTTCAGACCCGTGCCATTTTCCTCCAAGCAATTCAATTCTCAGAAAAGAGGCTTGGGCACGGGGCCCTTGTCTCCCTTCATCTTCCCGAAGTACATGCCTGAGGACAGGCCGGGTTCTTGCTATTCCCCAGTCTCTGAGGAAGTCTTTGGCTTGCAGCTAACCCAGCACACCAGGAAAAAGCGGGCCTGGATCGGTGGCATTTGCCCTTTTCCATTGTGTAAATAAATGCTCCTACCGTGACCTATTTTAAGCTGCCAGCGTGAAGTCACTGAAAGCAATGCTGCTGAGAGGCGAGCAGAACCAGCTCTCCCGAGCAGGCTCAGGCACACTTCTCCCAGAGGCGGCACCGCCTCTGTTTACCGGAGCTGATGTTACTCTGGTCTCTCGCTCCTTCTGCGGGACACTGCTCCCCATGTCATCCCTGTCCCTGCCCTCTCTAGGCGATCTGGTCTTTCCCCTCTCTTGCCTCTTGTCCTTGTTCTGATATACACTGGGGCAGGAGGGAAAAAGCGAGCAACCTTCCACTAAATTCTTAGAGTGGCCTACAAAATCCCTCCACCCTCCCTGCCTCTGCCCTTACAGCGCAGGACTCGTCCTCTGCCCCTTGCTGTGCCCACCACCCGCTTGCTGTGCCACACCACCCGTTTGCTGTGCCCACCACCCTCTTGCTGTTGTGGAACATACCAGGCACATTTCCTACTCAGGGCTTCGTGCTGGCTCCTCTGTCTGCTGGACTGTGCTTCCTCCTTCAGCCACTTCCAGGCTTTCTCCAGGCACCACCTCCTCACTGGGCAGTCCCTGGCCTTTCTATTTGAAATGCACCCCGTGCCCAGACTCCAAACCCACCTTAACCACAGCACTTAGTGGGCACTAACGCACCGTACCAGCTGCCTGCAGCCTCTGCCCTGCATCACAGTGGGAACTGCATCAGCGCAGGCACTTGGTTTGCTTCTGCACTGGCAGGGCCCAGGTGCTAGAATGATGTCTGGCACATAACAGGTCCCCAATCAATACTTTCATTTAATAAGCAATCCTACTTCTCCTGCTTACATGACCCCATTTCACTGACCCTTGTTGCTATACTTCGACAGTGCTTAAGTAACTTATCTTCTACAACGTACGAAGTCAGCAATGGAGCTGGGATTCTGCGCCCAGACCTTCAGTCTCAGGCCAGCTCTGCTCGATCATACTCTGAATTATATCTTAGTTATTATTTGTGGGTTATCATAACTTGCCTTACCATTCAACTATTATAGGACTTTTAGAATGTTTCCAATATTTTGCCATTACAAATGATGTTACAGAGAGCGTATTTATAAATGCTGTAAGGAACTGAACTTAATCTAATCTTACTGAAAAGTACTGAAGAACGTGACTGTATAATTATCTTTTTCTTTTTACACAATCAATAGCATTCTTACTATTCATACTGTAGAATAATCCTAGAGTTTTCAGATAAGTGTAGTTTTGATAGATATTGTAAAATTATACTCTATAGGGATGGTATGACTTTGTACTCCACCAATAATGTAAGAAAGTGTCTATTTCCCTAGAACCTTCCAATAGAATGTGTTATTTGACACCACTTTACTCTCTAAATGGTTTCT